AGGGTATTTCAGGAAAAATCAGTATGTACAATGAAGTCCGCTAGAATAAGGATAGGAGTGTGAGAAGAGAGAAAAATAAGGAGGGTATCAAATTCACTGAGAAAGGAAAAGGATGAGGCCTGTAGATAAGAGTTACCAGAATTTTGATTGGGTGGCAGATATGAATAGCATGAAACTGGTTCCTGAAATGAAAGAGGAAAAGGGAGAATCTGGAAAAAGCAATGGAGATGCAAGGAGTGTTTCCCTCAGCTGAACCAGTAAATCAAGGAGAATGAATAAAGGTACAGCCAGGACTGAAGAGGGAGATTATGTCATCAGAAAAAAAAACTAGGTTTTGGTAAGAGCTAGTAGATGGAAGAAGTGAAAGAAGAATAGATTTAAAATAAAGGGAAGTCTATTGCCTATGGAACAAACATTCTAGAGGTCACAGTGGAAGGCCTGGGTGGAGTTAGGATGAAACTTTTGGGTAGGAGGACTGAGTGGGACGGAAATGAGGAACTGGGTGGTGGAGGAATGGAGTGGAGTTTGGATGATGAGACACAGGAGTTCAGAGTCTCTAGGATGTCAAGAGTATATACTAAATAATCTTGATTCCAGAGGATTGATAATAATGGACTGTGGACATAACATGGTAGAATACACATGCTGACAGACATGATCAATAACTTTTAATTAACCAGTTGCCCTGGTTAAAAGCAAAGGTTCAACGTATACAGGAAGTGGCGTAGGAGGGAGAGTATTAGGAATCTACTGTGATATACATTGTTTTTTAAAAAGATATCAGTCACACACTAAAAAAGCAAGAAACATGAATCAGAAGTGAGTTGAGTATCTGACATATAAAGATATTAAAGAAAGAAATATTACAAAGTTAAACAATTACAGATAGCAAGACATTAAATCAACACTTACATGGTTCTAAGGCTTCTTCAAAATTCTCACCTTGTTTAAGTTCAATTAATAGATCAAAAAGACCATCTGTGGTCTAATTTCAAAGGAGATCTAAGGAACTGGAGAAGGGAGGGAAAGGAGAAGAATTTAACTAGTTCTTGAACTAGAAACCATATTCTTTATTACTGAAATAACTGTTAGAAGTAGAAATGCACAGAGAAAAATCTTTGGGGCATGTACTCAAAGAATGAGGTTTATATATAGGAGTACTCTTTCCAGGCCTACGAGCCATGTCTTTCCCTTCCTGGGGGCAATGGGAGAGCTGGGAGCTTAGAAATAAAACTGGGGATCAGGAATCAGCTCCCTTAAGTGGAAAGAGAAAACTGTTTTGACATGGAGGTGGGACTCCACAGGTGACTGCATCACAGGAGAGTGGTTTCATAGCTAACATTTATATAACACTTTAAAGGTTTGTAAACAGCTTTATATTTAGTTCTACAAATATAGATATTTTCCCTATCCTGCTGAATTCATTTTGCACTTCTTTGACTGCAGTCATTTTGCACTTCTTTCCTTTTCCTTCTCCCCCAGTGCATTCTTCTTTCCCAATCTTTGCAGTTTTTTCTTAAGATCATCAAGACATATGACATAAGCTCTCATGTTGCTGACCAGCCATTTTCAGTGATGTCTGACTCTTTGTGACCCCATTTGGGGTTTTCTTGGCAGAGCTACTGGAGTGGTTGGCCTTTCCAGTTCATTTTACAGATGAGGAAACAGGGTTAAGTGACTTGCCCAGGCCACATGGCCACTAAGTGTCTGAAATCAGATTTGAACTCAGGAAGATGAGCCTTCCTGACTCCTGGTCTGGCACTCTATCCACTGTGCCATCTAGATGGCCTACTTATAGTCTAATTAAACTCCCTCTACTACTCCCAATGGTGTCAGGGTTCAGAAGGGATATGTATATCATCTGGGTGGCATAAAGAATAGAGACTGGGTCTGAAGTCAGGAAAATTTGAATTCTAATCCCATCACAGAAATGTATTACCTATGAGACTTTGGGCAAGTCATCTGTTTAGTTTTTTATCACTGTTCATTCATGTTTATATTTTTAAGTTTCTCTTTACTCCTGTGTTTCACATGAGCATATCTGAGGGCAGCAAGGAAGGAGCCAGTACATCAGGAGAGAATGAAGATAAGAGAAAAATAGTAAGGGCAATTTGCTAAAGAAATTGGTAGGGGATAGGATCAAGGCTGCCTACAGGGAAGTTTGCCTTGGTAAGGAGAAGAGCCACCTCTTCATCCTAGACTGGGGCAAAGAAGACTGTGGAAGAAGATATCTGGGGGCAGCCAGGTGGTGCAGTGGACAGAGCACTGGCCCTGCAGTCAGGAGGACTTGAGTTCAAATCTGGCCCCAGACACATAACACCCACTAGTTCTGTGACTCTGGGCAAGTCACTTAACACCAATTGCCTCACCAAAAAAAACCAAAACAAACAAACAAACAAACAAATAAACAAAAAACCCCCAAAACAACAGGGGCAGCTAGGTGGTAGAGCAGGTAGTGCACTGGCCCTGGAGTTAGGAGGACCTGAGTTCAAATCTGGCCTCACACACATAACACTTACTAGCTGTGCAACTTTGGGTAAGTCACTTAACCCCAATTACCTCACCAAAAAACAAACAAAAAGAAAAAAAAGAAAAAAGGAAAAGAAAAGATATCTAAATAATGTGAGATGCAGAGGAAGAGAGAAGAAAGATTTCAATGAATCGTCTGCATTTTTTCCATGAAATCTCTAGCTAAGAAGGTGTGAGGAGATAGAATGGGAGGCATGAAAAGATATGAAGTTTCAAAAAGTTACTCAGTATAATGGGATAGTGAATCAATCACAGATGACTAGAATGTTTACCTTGCTTCAAAGAATGCACAGTTGATATTACATTGTCTATGTTTTATAATGTGTTGGTATGACAGTCCATGTGTATAATTTGTAAATAAACATACAATATTAATTATTACACACCAATACAATTACATAATCATATAAATATATAATTATTAATTAATATGCAACAATTATTTAATATATATTAGGAAAGAGTGTTCATTTTCATGATAGGTCTCTATTTTCATGACCATAGCTTTAGAGGTCTCTCTAACAGTAATTTGTTAAAATAAAATGAATGAGGAAGACAGGTAAATCTGAATAATTTTTATGATGATAATGAAATGATAATTTCTATGATGATAATGAAAATAATATAATAAATGTAAATTCCAAAATTTTCACTTTAGTAAGTTGTCATGTTTACTTTTTTTCTTCTTTTTCAATAGTGTAGGGAGTGAGAGGGAAAGTGATAAATTTCTAAACATCAATAACAGCCACGGTAAGTGTAGTTTTACCATATATGTAAAACAGTCTAACAAATAAAACTACTTGGACACAATATGAAACTCTTTAGAAATTAGATAATATTTTTAAAGTGCTTAAAATAGTGCCTGGCTAGGCTATATAATGTAGATGCTATATAAATACTAGCTATTATTATACTGAGGCAGCTGGTGGCACAGTGGATAGTGATGAGCCTAGAGTCAGGAAGACCCGAGTTCAAATATGGCCTCATACATTTAGAAGCTGTATGACCCTGGGCAAGTCACTTAACTTCTGTCTGCCTAAAAATGGGGATGATAATAATAGCTCCTATCACCCAGAACTGTTGTGAGGATTAAATGAGACAACTGCAAAGTATTTCATACACCATCTGGCACATAGCAAGCACCATATGAATGTTAGCTATCATCATATTAAAATTTGGCATCAGACATTTATTAGTGGTGTGACCCTGGGCAAGGGTCACTTTGTCTCAATTTCCTCAACTGTAAAATGGAGATAATTATAGTACCCACCTCACAGAAGTGCTGTAAGTATCAAATGGGATACTATTTATAAATAGCTCTTAATAAAGTGCCTGGAACACAGTACGCACTGTATAAATGCTCATTCCCTTTCATTTAGAGAGAACTGCAATTTGGAGACTGCAATTAAATTAGGTATAGTTATGAATGGAAGAAAGTCCAATATTTTAAATATATAAAGTTATTGAATAATCTTGTACTAAGGAGAACTAAGTAAAATATATAACTATTTGATATTTACTCTACATTTCTTCTAGGCAATACATAAAAATGGCAATATGATTAACGATCACTAAATACTGGAATTAGAACAGACAACGTCATCTAGTCCAGCTTCCAAACCATTAAATTGAAATGAAAATTTCATCTTCACATTTATAATGGAGGAAAAGGAAACTGGACTTGGTCCATATGTAACATGTCTGGGGAATACATATTTAAAAGACTTCAGAAGAAAGAGAGTAGATCTATAGATAGGATTCAAGTAGAGTAGAGATAAGCAAATTGAAGTAAGTAAAATTATACTAGAGAGATAAACTCAGGAATGATGGGAAGTCCTTGATGGAATTCTTACGGCATAAAGAAGCAATTCTGATAAGGAAGAAAAGGGTAAATTGCCTAATGTGACTGTATAGGAAATTCATTGATAAACTTACTTTTTTAAATAAAGCATGTATAGAAGATAAAACAAGAAAGTAAATATAAAAGCTTAATCAAAGTTCTATAAAAATTATGTTAACAGTGCTAAAGTTCAGAATGAGCAAAAGCTAGTGACAAATGCTAATTATGACAAAAAGTGTTGTTGTGTTCAAAGCTATAAATACTATGTGAGTACTAGGTAAAATCTCAATAAAATCCTGCTGAGGTCCCTTCAGAGAGTGAAATTTTGTCATTCTTATTCAGAATAAGAAGTGAAAAGAAGCTACAGTCCATATCTCTCTTCATAGAATATATATACATATATAGTATGCATATATATACACACACACACACACACATTATATATAATGTATATATGTATATATAAAAACATACACACACATAATCCTTAATGTTGGTAACACACACTTTTTTCCTTCTGTCAGGAAGGGGTCACTCTCAACATTTAATGTGAAATTATGCTATTTTTACAATAATCTTTATCCACTGAAATATCTCAGTTAGTATAACATATTTTTAAAAATCAGAATACCTGTTCAATTTCTTTGGTCTTCGATGCTATTGCTTTTGAGCGACTGGTTACCTGGTTATCCTTCAAACAGTTCAATACTATCTGTGGCATTTGTCTCAGGCTCTTCTGGTTGGTCATTGTACAATGGAGCTGAAGACCCACACTTTAAAAAGAATAAAAGTGATATTAAATTATTTTTTAAATGATGTAAAGGATAATTTTGATTACATGAAATTAAAAAGGTTTTGCTCAAGCAAAACCAAAGCAGCCAAAATTAAAAGGAAAGCAGGAAAGTGGGAAGAAATTTTTTTTTACAAGTTTCTCTTATAAAGGCTTCACTTCTCAAATATGTAGGGAATGAAGGCAAATTTATAAAGATAAGAGCCATTCCCAAATTGACCAAACTGGTCAAAGGATATGAACTACAGTTTTCATAAGAAGAAATCAAATCTGTCACAAGAAAAAGTACTCTAAACCATTACTGATTAGAGAAAAGCAAATTAATACAATTCTCAGGTATCTCCTAATACCTATCAGATCGGCTATCATGACAGAAAAGGAAAATTAAGAAAGCTGGAGAAGATGTGGGAAAATTGGAACACTAATACATTGTTGGTGGAGTTGTAAACTGATCCAACCATTCTGGACAGCAATTTGGAACTCTGCACAAAGGGCTACAAAACATACCCTTTGACCCAGCAATACCACTTCTAGGTCTGTATCCCAAAGAGATCATACAAATAGGAAAAAGACCAACATGCACAAAAAAAATTTATAGTAGCTGTTTTTGTGGTGGCAAAGAAAGGATGCCCATCAACTGGGGAATAGCTGAACCAGCTGTGGTATATGATTGTAATACAGTAATAATGTGATTTGAGAAATGAAGAAGGGTTTGTTTCAGAAAAAGTTGGGAAGACTTATATGAACTTACACAAAGTGAACTGAGCAGAACCAGAAGAACACTGTATACAGTAACAGCAATATTGTAAAAAAGGCTTAGCTATTCTGATCAAAACAGTGATTCAAGTCAATTCCAAAGGACTCATGTTGATAAATGTTATCTACTTCTGGAGGGAAAACTGATGATCTCTGAGTACAGACTGAAGCACACTCTTTTCACTTTATTTTTCTTGTATTCGTGTGTGTGGTCTTTTTTTTTTTTAAACAACACAGCTAATATGGAAACATGTTTTTCTTGACTTCATATGTATAATTGTATTGTTTGCCTTCTCAATAGATAAGGGACGGGCAGAGGAGAATTTGGAGCTCAAAATTATAAAAGATGAATGTTAAAATTTTTTTAAAATGTGATTGGGAAATACTTAAAATAAAGAAAATGTAATAAGAATTAATAAATTATGTAAAGGATGTTTCGTATACTTGTTTCTAGGATACAAATGGCAGCAGAAATTATATTAAGGAAAGAGATAATCCTTAATCATTTAAATAGTGTTTTTAATTCTTTTGATTTCACAATGCATGATGAAAATATATAAAGGAAATATGAAGAAAGGTATCTTTCTTAATAGTGGGTGAGATGAAGCTTCTAAGCTAATTTATTCAACATCCTTGACTGTGATTAAACCAAAGTATCTGTCATCTCTTCCAGGAATAGTCTTTAAAGAATTTACTATCTGCACTGGGATACAGAGGAGTGGTATAAGAAAAATCAGAAAAGAAACAGGGAATTAAGAATTTACAATTTATTATAAGGGGTAGGTTTTATTTGATTTCTGAATCTGCTCTCTGAATCTGAATTTCTGCTACTTCAGATTACAGATTTTTTAAAGAACAAAGGAGAAAACCTGAAAAAGGAAGTAGTAACTTTAAAGGTAATATAAGTAGCTCATTTCAAACAATCAGCTATGGTTTTATTTTTGATAGCTCATTTTAAGCAATAAACTAGTTTTATTTTTGGTCATAGTATTCAGAAACACACTTAATAGAGAACAGCAAAATTTTTTAAATAATATTTGTGTGGGTAAACTGTTCTAACTTCACATCACTGCTTTGCAAACAGTTCACCAAGAAGTATTACAAATGGAAAATTACATAAATGAAACTAGTTTAATCTACAACGTATTATATTTTTGAGCCAGAATTAGGCTGGGAGGAGAGAAAAGAGGAAAGAACAAGACGCTAATTAAAATTCTGTGTAACAGTAACTTTTAGTACTCATTCGCAAGACTATAGTAGACTTTGGGCCGCGATGTAACATGTCACAGCAGAAAATGGAGAAGGAAAGCTGAAAGAGTGAGGTGATAGAAAAGTGTGGTGCCACAGAAATCAAGAGGCTTATAAACAGTCGTGAGTACAGGTAAGTTGTTCACAGTACTAGGGTTCATAAATGCAACAACATCAGATGCAGGCTACTTTTGCTTCCAAATTTCATTTTCATCTCAATTGGGCCTGGGTTCAAATCTTGAAGTACTACGAAGCCACATACTCTCTTTTTTTCTTATGATTCACCACTTTACTTATACAAAACAGTGAACAATCACACCCTGGCTGGGGGATAAAAAGTGGTTTAGGATTGAAACAAGTCCTTCTGTCCTGAAGCAGCAATTTTGAAAGATTGGGACTAGTTGCTTTATGCCCCAGAATCTTTGGATTTGGTGCCCTCAGGGTTGATGAATTTGGGAGGCTTGAAGTCAGTAGGCTTAACAGCCTTGGAAGACTTGGAATAACTGGGCTTCATAACCTTGGAATAAGACTTGGTGACTTTGTCTTCAGACTTGGCTGCTACGGGATTGATCTTGGTGACCCTGGGGTCAGAATTGGTGTCCTTGGGGTCACTGGTTCTGGCAACCTTAGAGTTGAGCTTCATGATGCTGGGGCCTATGGGTTTGGTGCTAACCCTAGGGACGAGATGCTTGAGGCCATCTTGAGCATTAGAGCATATTGGGCTCCGGCCTTGGGGATCTTGGGCCTGGGGAGTTTGGTCTTAGAAGCCTCTGCTCAAGCCTTGCTGGCTTTAGTATTGCTGGTCTACATCTTCTTCAGCCCCTTCTTGTTATGTTTCTTGGCAAAGCATATATTTCTCAGAATCTTGGGGTCAATCCCTTTCAGAGACTCATATCTCTGTGACCCAGGTTTCTTGATGCCATTTCTGTGTCATTTTTATGACTGCTTATGAGTGGTATGCTTCTTAGACTTAGTCATCTTTATACTGCAGCCTCCACGAACAAGAACGCCACAGATTGTAAGAGGCCAAGAGCAAAAAAGGGAAAGAAGGGAAACCATACATTCTTTTTTTTTTCTTTGCCTAAGCAATGGGGTTAAGTGACTTGCCCAGGGTCACACAGCTAGTAAATGTTATGTATCTGAGGTCAAATTTGAACTCAGGTCCTCCTGAATCGAGGGCCAGTGCGCCATCTAGCTGCCCCAAAATCATATATTCTTAAAGGAGCTTCTGAAATCATTACATTTGCAGGCCTAATTATTAAAATATGAGATAATCATAGGCATTAGACCTATGATTTTACTGAAAAAGAGAACTCTCAGGAAAGGAAGTGAAAAAAATATCCTCTAGCAATGTTGGTTGTCACCTTCTCTGCATTAATATTTCAAGTGACTTGTGCACAGGCCATCCTGGCTTCAAGATCAGCTTTCTCTCTCTACTTCTCAATATTGCTTTTCATGGTTGGTATATCATAGGAAATATTAAACCAAATAGGCCTCGGTTTTAGAAAAATTAAAAGAGAGGAAAAGTATTTAAACTGAAAATTAAACACAACAGGGAAAAAATGGCTTTTTAAAAAAGGTTAATGATTTTTAAAATGCTCACTAAAATAAATCTAAATTTTTCTTTAGTCACACACCTCTTATCCGAACAGTCCACACATATTTCTTTGAACTTTATCGCCTCACTGACCCAAAGAATCACGGAATTTCAAAGCTGGATAGGACCTCAGCCATCTAATCCAACATGATCTGACTAAGAACTTCCTTCATAATGTACTAAACTGAGGCAGCTAGGTGGTGCAGTAGATACAGCACTGGCCCTGAAGTCAGGAGGACCTGAATTCAAATCTGGCCTCAGACCAAACACTGTAACATTTACTAGCTGTGTGACCCAGGGCAAGTTACTTAAACCCAACTGCCTAAAAAAAAAAACAACGCACTAAACAAGTTACTCAGTCTTTGCTTTTAAATCTCAAATGAAGAACATAATAAGAATATATTACCACCAAATGCAGTCCACTTCTGAATAGCTCTAGTTTTTCCTTTACATCACACCTAAATTTGCCTCTTTGCAATTTTCATTCCATTACTCTCAATTCTACCCTCTGTGGCAAAATAAAACAAGTGTAATGTCTTTTCCAGGTGAGGCCTTCAAAATACTTAAAGACAACTATAATGCCCTCTAAAGTTTTCTCTTCTCCAGGCTAAATCCCTCATACCAGGACCCAGCACCATCTCCTCCTCATTTCTGTCTTGGCTTTCCTTAATAGCCTCAGATTGTTCTTGGTTTTATTGGTCCTGACAACTTTTCTGTTACCTGCCCTTACTGTACATACCTTTTTAAAATCAAAGTTTGTCAATGAATTCCCTATGAATCCTTACTGATCTCTTTAGCTGAGATCCCCTTTTTTTTCCTCATCAGAATTCTTTTTGAATTTATTATCCTTCAAGGCTAACTTCTATAGATTCTTGATCTATGGGATGCTACCTATCCTTCCACTGATTCCTTTTAAATCTACTCTATCCAAACCTAGGTTGTATGCAAGACAACGTACAAGTTTTTTCTATTCTATCAAAACTTTAAAGATAGAGGTATTAAAGACAGAAGGTAAGTACCCAAGATCTTTAGCAATACATTCCAGGAAATAGTTTGTTCCTGTTAGTGAAAATAAGATCCAAAATAGAATGCCACTCCTTTGTTCTTCTGCTCACTTATAACTAGACAAATCAATAAATTAAGTACTACGTGTTTAGCAGAGAGTTCCAGGAGATGTCTAGAACTACTGAAATACTTGTTCACTACTGCTTCACATATCTGAGCCAATATTGTGATCTTCCTAAACTTTTCTTTCTAAGTTATCAATAGGATGCTCAAAAAACAATATCCACAGCAGTGTGAAGGACTGCCAGGCTAAAGTGAGATTTTCAATAAAAGGTGGACTATGAAGGTTATGTTTACAGAGTGGTGATTAAGGTGACTTACTTTTAGATACAAAAAGGCTAAAAGTCTAAAGAAATGCTAACAATACTGAGCAGGAGGCCAAACATAGCAGTTAACAGAACAATTCTCTCATCCCATTCTTTATTAAAACACATTTAGCCTCTTATTTTCAGCTGAGAAAAGTAATCATATTCAAAGTCAGACTGAATTAGGCACGCCTGCCTGGTGTAGAGCAGGTCTCTTTTGAAAAAGTTCAGTCTATCAGATAATTTTCAATTTTTTAAACCAATATCAATATTACATTCTGAAGGATATATTCCTGTTACTGCTGAAATTACAGTACAATACCACAATCGCACAATTATATAAGCAATGTTATTACCACCACTGATAGCTGAAATGTCATTAATAATTATTCTAAACCTTATTAAAACAAAAACAAAAACAAAAAACATTTTCCACTGAAACTCCCTGATAAATATATTTGCCCCAAGGCATTTAAGTAATCCTGGGAAACTACCTAGTAATCCCAACCTAGAAGAAACTCACACTAATACATAAATTTTACTACGCCTTTTAAAGTCTCAACATAAGTTTTAATCTATCAGTTTTCTTTTCTTCTGTTACGAACTCATGCTCTTTTAGGATATAATCTATCTTGATAGCAAAAGGCAATGCAGCAAAAGCAAGAAAATGTTAACTTTAGAGTCAGGATCACAGAATTCAAGATCTGCCTCTAAAATATTCTAATTTCATGACCACAGGCAATGCATTATCCTAGTGCCCCAAGTAATGGGTTCGATGTTCTGCAATCACAGAGGGAGTTCCTTTACTTGCAGCTATCTAAACTGACAAAATCACAAGTCTAGATTAAAAGAAAAATCTTTTACCTTATTTTCTAAACACAAAGAGAATGAATACACACACACACACACACACACACACAATACTAAAACTAGCCATCTATCTATAAAATATCTAAATATCTAAGAAATAATGAAATGGCAATTCCATTGCTTTTCTTCTAATAAATGGTATATATTAAGACAATAAACTATCTCTCAACTATGGAGAAAGTAGACAGAGAAAGGTGGTTCTTACATCATAATCAGAAATTTCTGGTAAGTTATTCTCATCAGTCTTCTCTAATTTTTCTGCAGCCCACTTGTTTGCAGCTTCAGCAAGCTCCTTTTCAGTTAGCCTGCTAGGTTTATCCAAGACCTAATGAAAAAAAAATTCTATTAAAATTTGAAAAGACTTTTGAATGTTAAAATAAAAATAAAAAGTATACCTCCCTTAAGGTAGAAACAATTTATGAAATGAAATGTTATGTAGTATAAAGAGCTTGGGTCTTAGTCCTGAGAGCTAATTCAAGTAAGTCAAGCCACTCTGCTTCTTCCTCTTTGCTTCCTCATCAGTAAAATTAGTATTGATGATTAAAACTATTTACTTCATATAATTTTTGTGAGAAAAACATTTTGTAAACTTCAAAACAATATATAAATAGATTCTAATGACAATGAGGATGAATTTCCACATTTGAGTGCCCTGTACCTAAAAATTAATAGGCATTTAATAAATTATCAAAATTTTAATGAGTAATTCTTCCCTTTAAAAACAGCTACCATAAGATAAAGGGTCTTACCTCAATAGATAAATGGTCAAAAGATATGAATCAGTAGAACTGTTCTAGAATTATCAGAATTTCAAATGGAAACAATATATCCCAAAAGATTAAGAATATGCTTCACTGGCCTGGAAACTCACCTGATTTAAATGCCATTAAAAATCTACAGACAACCACCAAAACAACCTGGAACTGCAAATAGTAAGCTCTTAATTAATTCTGGTTAATTTATATCATTCAGTTGATCTTTTTTTTTTTATTAATCTAAAGAAGCAAAACAAACCTTTGATGAGGGAGCTGCTGTGGAACTGGAGGGAGAAGTATCTCTTGATGTTTTCAAAGACTGGCCAGAAGGTCTCTCTTTACCTTTAAAAAAAATTTTAAGGCATTAGTGGAAATATACTTTTAAAATGTTATGGTTACTATAAAAAAAAATTTCACCTTTTTCCACAGCATTTTCTGTTTTTCAAGAAGGAATCTCAAATTCCTTAAGGTAAAAGTAAGGGTCTACACAGTTTATTAAGGTACTCAAATCAAGCTGATAATATCTAGGACTGTTGACCTTGCCAAGCACTAGATAGTATTCAAAGGTCTGAAGAAACTAGAAGTACAAGAGACATGCCTGCCATTTCCACTAGCTGTTACCCAACAGGCAACCATAAGAGTCACCAAGGGAGAAACAGCAGAATGAGAGCTGTAGTAGTCATGAGTGCTTCCCACATGTAGGTGAGTCACATACCAAAATGCCTACTTTTAAAATAGGCATTCATTATGTAGCACCAAAATTACCAAAGGCCATGATTGCAGTGACCACCACTATTAGTTAAGCATCAGTATTGCTAAAAAAATAAAATAAAATAAAGATAATAGTATAATTTAGTAATGGTGCCTATTGATCTCAAATGTTTACATAATAAAGCAAAATACAAATTAGTAAGACACAATTCAAAACAATTTAATCGTGTTTGTTGAAACCAGTGAGCCTGAAGTTTAGTTACTTGAGCACAAAATGTGTAATGTTATTTGAACACTTCAGCAAAACACATTTTAAAATTTCAGCAAAACATTTTAAAAACAATATAGTCATCATAGTAGGTTATATACAACAAAATGCTTAAATGAATGCAACCTGTAAAATGAATGGTAAACTTGAGCAATTAGTAATTATAAAACCTTACTAAATTCAAACTAAAATCAAATGAATTAATGCATATTAAGTGCCTTGCAATCTTAAATTACTCTGTAAATGTCAACTATTATTATAATAATTATTATATTATGTTTTACAAATAAAGAATAAATCCCTTGGTGCAATTGTATGAGCAAAAATCAAAATGAACCAAAACAACTATTTGGCTAGTGATGAAAAGAAAGGGCTAAATCATGGTGGTTTGTGGGCAGTAGTGGATAAGACAAACTCAGACAAAGCCAAGTAAACTAAAAGTCCAAATAACACATGATTATATTCTTAGAAATTACATGTTAGCTAAAGATGAAGTCAGAGAGCACTATGTCAGAAAAGGGAAAGCAATAGGGCACCATAAAATCATCGAGAAGCTGAAGGCACAGAATGGCCCATAGGACAAAGCTTGGTAATCATTAAAGAGTCGGAGATAATTCAGAAGCTGAAAGTCAACATAGGGCAGTACTAAAGCTAGCAGTAAGTAAACAGATAAAATCAGAAACATGAAAACCATGATACTGAGGCAAAATCTACTGCAGACAAGAAACTTCTACTACCACTTCTGATATAGGAGGAATAAGGAACAAATGACTGACTTGAAAGAATAAAAATCAGCCCTGAACCTGAAGTACAAAGGCTACTATGATTTTCTCTGTATAGCCAATAATGAGCTCTCTTCTATTCTTAGCAACTCCCGACAATCTCTCTCTACAATATCCAATTTTAATAATCCAATAATTTACAAGTGGCACAAATAAGAGGCACCCAACTACATGTGACACTACCTTAAGCTTTGAATAAAACAAACTGAACAAGCACAGATTTTGCCCTTTAGGAATTTACAAGAGAAATAACAATGTAAGTAGACATAATTGACATATAAGCAATTATGTAATAATGTAAATCCTCATTCCTCCTCCAAACACTCAATTTAAGTTTTATGAAGTGATTTTGTATCCTTTTCAGTCAATAAATCTCTTCATAGGGCTTGGAGTCAGAAGGAGTAGGGGAAAGATATGATAGCAATGAGGGATAAAGTTCAATCCCCAAATAGATCAGTGAAACTAATTTTACATGGAGTAATTGTTCCACAGACTGCTGCACTTTGTTAACCCACCAAAGAACTGCATTTCTCTGTATAAAGAGGACAGTAGACCTCTTTGGATATGGCAAAATACAAATCCTAATTTTACTCTTAGGTATTGTGATGAATCTTTACTCCAGTTAGTTAATTCAGTTTTTTTTGCTTTTTGTTTTTTAGGCAATGGGGGTTAAGTGACTTGCCTACGGTCACACAGCTTGTGTCAAGTGTTTGGTCTGAGGCCAGATTTGAACTCAGGTCCTTCTGACTTTAGGGCCGGTGCTCTATCCACTGCGCCACCTAGCTGCCCCCTATTTAATTTATTTAAATAAGTTTAAAGCTTCTATTTTCAACTGCTCTCATATTATTATAAATGTAAATTTTTTCTGCTCTTGATCCATGTAAAGTATAAACTTGCTCCTGAAATGGTCAGTATGACCAATGATTCTTGTTTTTCAGGTATAGTTATATACTATTTTTTTTCTGAAAAGATTTTCTGCAGTGAATATCTGGGGCAATAAGGTAATCTAACAAGACACTGAACAAACATTATTCATCTTGGGGGAAGAAGCTGGAGACAGAATACAGACAGTGGGAAAAGCATACGAGCAGGAAAAATATGAAAGGATGAAATCCTCTGGCTTGAGCGCTATCCATTTTTATCTGCTCGTGATTCTTCTAATATAGCTATAATGTGTACTTCAACCTTTCCACTTCTCCATCCAAGAAGAACAGGTAGAGAAAAGACTGGAACCATAGTAGAAAGATTTAAGTGGATCTCTTCCCCAACTTCTAACCTTCACTTCACCCTATCCCCCAACCATTTATACCAACTAGGTGGGCAGACAGGCAAATAGAAAGGCCCTGTGACTTCACTGTTGTAGGAGCTCCCGCTGAGGAAACTGCCTTTAGCCAATGGAAATGAACAAATGTACTATAACTTATTATCTATTTCAGGTACTGAGAGGTTAAATGACTTAACTAGGGCCATACAGCCAGAATATGTCAGAGGTAGGAATTGAACTCATCATCTTGAATCCAAATCTTGCTCTCTATCTACTACACCATAGTGATATGTGTACGTATATGCAAATATGTATACATACATATGTGTGTGTATACTTATGTGTTATTGTACATGTATTTTCAAGCTTTAGTTCTGATCTTTCCATTGTGCAAGTAAAGAACAGAATGCACCAAATGTCCAACCCTTTACCCTCCCCACAACTAGCACGTCCCTCCCATGCCAATCCCAAATGAGAATTCAGCTTCAACACTTACCTCTTCCTGGCTCTCCTTCATTTTGCTGTTTGTAGCAGGCACCAGCACGCACGGACTCTGGAGAAAGGTGGGCAGGTAGGAGTTAACACCAGCACCTCTCTGTGCTCTCAGAAAATGCAAAGAAGCCCAAGACAAGCAGCAAAGATCAAAGTAGCAAGAATTTTACAGCATATATGGTTCCAAGTGACTGCCCTCATGTCCCCCCAAATACTCAATGTTGAACTGATCATAGAAGCTATAACCAACCACGTACATGAGGAAATGTTTCAGTCCAAAACCAGCAACAAGCCAGAGTCCACTACAATACAGAATGGTGCATCGTGGTGATGGCACAAATAACTACAAAGGATAACTATTTCTGGGTAAGAAATATATGTATCCCAAAAGTGAAGACAGAAGGTAATTAATAATGAATTTAACAGGGTAAAGCACTTCTTTGAGATCAAAGACTATGTCTTAGTCATATTCGTAAACTTCATAGTACTTGGTATATCTTCACACAGTAGGCTCTCAATAAATGTACAGCGAATGAATGAAGGAAAGAGTGAATGAATAAATGAATACTTTCAAGTACTGATACTACATAAATTGTCTTGTGTATATTTCTACTCACTTATCCTGTTGGTACCTCACACCTATCTAACATTTGTCTCTAAACCCAGGCCTCTTTCCACATGCTTATTTTTGGTGGTACTTCCAATGCACTGATTATATTCACAACTTATCTAGGCTCAAGACCTCAGAATCATCTGATTCTTCCTTCTTTTTTCACCTCTTCATTCAAATCAATTTTTTCTGTCATCTCCACCTTCATAAATCTCTCTCAAAGCTACCCCTCTTCTCTAAGCAGACTGCTACATCCAGTTTAAGTACTTATATCACTTCTAGCCTAGATTGTCTTCTCACCAGAAGGCCTTTTCTCTAATTCATCTCCTCTCCAAAGTATCCTACATAAAGATGCCCAATTAACTTTCCTGATTCTTAGGTTCATGTTTCTCCCTTGTTGAAAAAAACATTCAATGATCAATACAATAAACTACTAATTCTTTAGCCAGTTATTTAAGATCATCCACAATCTGACTTCATTATATTTTTCCTACTCTTTTTCATATTACTCCCCTTCACACATTCTAAATTCAATTTGACTCAAAAAAAAAAAAGTGCATCATCCGTGTCAGAAACTATGCTGGCCCTGAGGATGAAAATATAAAAGTGAAATGCACCCTGATCTCAAGAAGCCTGCATTCTACTAAAGGGATATGATATTTACATGTCAGTAAATCAAGAATATATACAGACTGAGGGTGAGGGAATGGTTCACATTAACAATTGAGGAAATTAGGAGTCTCTTAAAAGATATCCACTTAACATGGGCCTTGGAGGAAGCTTGGTATTCCAAGAAGTAAAACTGATCTTGTCTGTCTGTAAATTGTTGTTTGCATGTCAGCCACTCCAACAGACTGTGAACTCTTTGAGGTGGGCCTGTTTTTGCCTTTCTTTGTATATGCAGCACTTAGCAGAGTTAATGACACCAACAGACACTTAATAAATGTTTGTTGCCCTCACTTGTTGAAGAGCATGTCCCTCAGTTTCCAGTTGTCTGCCACTTCAAAAAGAGCTACTACCAAAGATTTTTGTATATATATGACCTCTTCCTCTTCTTTTGATTTCTTGGAGGTATAAGCCGAGTAGTGGTATTACTAAGTCAAAGCATACGCTTTAGTATCTTTTTGTGCACAGTTCCAAACTGCTTTTAAGAATAGCTGGACCAATTTACAGCTGCACCAACAACTCATCAGTTAAGTCAACAAGCATTTATTAAGCACAATAAATGCTAAGCATAAGAAAGAAAGGCAACAGCAACAATCCTAATAATCAAAGAGCACACATTCTATTGGGGGAAATAACATGCAAATAACTATGTATGTACAAGATATAAACAAGTAATTTCAAAGGAAAGTCACTGAGAAGATCTGGGAAGGGCCTTTTATAGAAGGTGAGGTTTGAGCAGAGAAGGAAGAACACTTTGGGGTTTGGGAGGCAACCAATGAAAAAGCATGGAGTCAGAAGATGGAGCGTCAAATGTGAGCAAGAGCAATGAAGTCAGTGTTACATCGATTTGCCCGTGTTTTCCACAGGCCCTCTATCAATTTGTCATTTTCAATTTTTGTCAGTTTTGCCCACCTGATAGATATGAGTTAAAACCTCAGAACTGCTTTAATATGCATTTCATTTTTCTTTTAATATGGCTATACTTAACTTGGATTTCTTCCCTTGAGAGAGAGAGAAATAGAATATAAGAATGAGGGTGAATGATAGATGAAACAATAAGAATGAGGTGACAAAATCATGTGGGTTGGCCTTCACAAGAAGAGCTACCTTTTACCAATTGCAATGCATTTTCATCTCCATATTCTTTGTTATTTCTGTCTATATTCTCCTAGAGATAATCCATTGAGAATCTATGCAACTACTAGAGGCCTTCCATTAAGCTTTTTTTATATTTCATGGGTAGCACTCAAAATGTGTGATAACCATTTTGTTGATATAACCTGTTCCAGTTCTTTTCCTATTCTACATGTACTCAATAACATTGTCCTTTTCTTGACTTGCAACTTGCACTCCTTTGAGACTCTGTGTGTGGTATACTATGACACGCAGCCATTAAACTTCATAGAAAGTTTACTGAGATTGAAAAAAGATTTTGTTTCAGAGAGATGTTTCAGGTCACTAAAAGTACTGTGCATTTTCCTAAAAGCAATCTGGCCCACTCAGACATATATGGATCAACTTTATAGGTTGTCCATTCAAACATACCATAAATAAGCATTTTTCATCCACTTAAGTTTTCTTACATGTACAAAATCATTTGATTTTGAGCTGGAAAACAGCTGGAAAAGTACTTAAAAGACCATCTAGTGAAACATGTTCATTTTAAAGAAGAATAAATTAGGACAGATCAATCGCAAGATCAGCAACTGAGCCAAGATTAGAGGTAGTGAGAGGCAGGATTTTAACATCAGGTTCTCTGATTCCAAATTCAGTGCAATTTCCATTGTGTCATAATAAATGATTAACATACATGGATACCCTTAAAAATAGTGACAGTCTGATGAAATTCATTCTTTTATCCATTTCCAATTGTTTAGCATTATCAGTTTATTTTTCAGTAAGTCAAAATGGAGTTGTCTCAATGGGGTACCATATTTTCTCATTTTGAGCTTTATTTTAAGATTTTATACACACACACACACACACACACACATATTTATTTATATATTTATATGAAGTTGAAAAGACATGAATAGCTGGCTCAAAAAGAACTCTCTTCGGTAACCGGACACTTTCTGTCTGTTAAAATATAATAAATTTCATTTTTAAATGTTATTAAGATTCTCATAACCAGCATAATATGACTGTTCCAGAATACATAGGCATATTCAAGAAATATATTCCTGAAGCTTTCCTATAGTTTACAAACCTTTGAAGTCAGGTTTTCCAGGATATTTTATATTATTGCCAATGATATCAATCTTAGCATTGAAATCATAGATTATCAAAGTATATGCTATCTTCTTTATTTTTCCCTCTGCAACTGATTACAAAATCTGCAACTTACAAAAGGGACATCAGAGGTCAATGAGTCTAACTTCCTCATTTTACAAATGAGAAAAAAAGAGACTGAGAAAGGCTAAGTAACTGGCCCAGGGTCACAAATCTAAATTCTCTGTGACAGAATTCAAAGCTGACTCCTAGGACAGCATTCAACTCTCTATATTGCTATGTTATTCAGCATAGCAGGGTCCAGCAGACACAACAATATCAAGATCAGTTCAATCAAAGTAAAGACCTTTGTAGCATTGGAGGCATGAGTTTTACCTCTTGAGGCTTCAGCACACACGGGCCTTCCATGCGCATACCTCTCCACATATTTTCCCCACATGTGCACCAATCTACTTGCGACCTCTGTGTCCATGCTCAATGCTGTGGGCTACATTTGGGGGAGGATGGTGGAAATGTTTCATGACTAATTTGTTTTTACTGTGAAAATTTCAATAACTGCCTATGTTTTGAGTTAATTTTGTCATCTGGCTGATAATTCAAAGATAAATACATCAGTAGGGAATTGTGATCAAGTTTTAAGAATAGAGACCCACAGAGTAACTCGAAACTGGAATACATGTCCCCTACCTAAGATGTTGACTTCTAAGAGGAAGAGTAGCTTTGACCACAGAATAAAAAATTAATTCAGACAATTCCTTTATTTGCCTCTCCAAAGTCATTCAGCCATAACTCCTTCACAGCTCCTGTGGGTCCTATGTTTAAAAAAAACTTCTTGTATTCTGAACTTAAAACACCAAAACACACACAAACACACATACGTTACAAAAAAGAGTATTTCTGTATACAGAGCAGAAAAAAAATTCTAAATGAAAACACAAATCTCAATTTTAAAATGCTTGCTTTTTAAAAAATTTAACAAATTTTTTAATGAAAACATTTAAAAACAAATTCTACATGTTACTTTCAAAATTACCCTTGCTTCTCCGCACTTCCTTCTATACTTTTCTAGGAATTTTTAAAAATGTTACAATGGATAGCTTTGTTTCCCCTCATCATCACTTCTGCGAGCCCCCCAATCTCCACAAAATAGCACAGACACTTTAAAAAGAGAGGGGAAAAAAGCCAATTGTAACAAATAAGCATCATCAAGCAAAGAAAATCTACAGAGTGACCATGTCCAAAAAGGTATGCCTCTGTTCACCACTTCTTTATTAGGAAGTGGGTAACACACTTCATTGTAGGTCTTCTCAAGATAACGGTCACTGTATTGATCCAAGTTCCTGTCTTTTAAAACTGTCACTCTTTAAAATGCTGTTGTCCTTGTATAAATTATATTCTTGGTTCTTCTCATTTTACTCTACATCTGTTCACATTACCAAGGAATACCTGAAAGTATCTCTTCAATCATTTCTTATGACACAATAGTGTCCCATTACATTCATTTACCGTAATTTGTTCAGGTATAAGTCAACCATCTTAAGAGGCAAAATAAA